TGGCCATTGCAAATTCATTTATTTACCTGCTGAATGTAGAGTGTGGTCATTGTAATCACATGGTTAATATAGGAACAAGTCCCAATCTCTTCCACATTATCTAAGTTTCTGAAACAGAATGAAACATGTAAGAGGTGAAGCAATTGTATGATAGAAGTGGACTAATGGAAATGAATATCTATAGAGATTTCCAAAATTAATCCTACACAAATGTTTAAATATCCCAAATGCAAACTATGAGAGGCTACATGTTTTAAAATCTCACTTTTCTCTGTAATGTAGAAACCTTGATATAGCAAATGTATTAATATCAGAATGACCAGTTAACTATATTTTCAATAGCTGAGGCTACATGTTATGCTAACCATAATGTAGTTAATTCTGGCTTAGAATTATATATTATTTTAGCTTTGAAAGCAACTTATAGCTTAACATGAGTTAATATGAGTTGGTTACAATTATGCCTTCTTCAACAACCCACAGATAAATCAAATCATGACTGAAAATTATTTTTTAAAATATGCATTTATTTTGATTGAACATAGCCAGGGTCCCATCAACATGGGCTGTTCACAATATAAAAACAAATATACAATCCAAATAAAAGCATAGCAATTTTGATAATATGAAATTCAGTTACCATAGATATAGCCAATGTTCTAACTCAGTGTTGGCGAACCTATGGCACGGGTGCCAGAGACGGCACTCAGAGCCCTCTCTGTGGGCACACGCGCTGTCGCCCCAGTCCTAGGCCTTCAGCTGGGTTTTATAAAACCTTTTCACTTTAAGTCTCTGCTGCCGTGTGAAAAAAAAAAAAAGGTTCAATCGATCAATCAATTTCAACTTCTCGCGGGGAAAAAAAGATCTCATAAAGTTGGAATTGATTGATTAAACTTTTTAGTCCCACCAAGTCTGCTGTTACCACTGCAGCCACGCCCACCCAATGGGCCACACCCACCCAATGGGCCACACCCATCCGGCACCCGACGATGCATAAGTGGGTTTTGGGTTGCAGTTTGGGCACTCGGTCTCTAAAAGGTTCGCCACCACTGTTCTAACTCCTAGACTAATTTGATATTATACTTCCAAGAGAGAAAAAGAGATAGAGGGGAGAAAAAAAATGGGAAGAATACAAAAAGAGAGGGGATTGAGCAGGTACACTCGGAAATCAGTAAACAAAAAACTGAAAGAAAAGTAATGGAAATAGAATATATCAGGGATCTCTTTCTTGACACTCTCCAGTGTATTATGAAAAGACAATTCGGTGAAAAAAGATACCGGCAAAGAATGATGAAGAACTTGACTAGGAGAAGTGTCAGTGCTTGTTGTGGCTCTTCCAACCCTTCTGACAATTTCTGAACGCAATGCAGCAACTGGAGCCTCAAAACCTGAAGAATGTTATCAGGAAGCAGAGATATTCCAGGGGGAATGTCATCCACCCTAAAATAAAGCCAGTAAATATGAGAGGCAAAAAGCAACAGTCATTGACATAATTATAGCTTTGGAACTTCTTAGCTACAACTCTATTTTCTCCAGATACCATCTGCCTGCAGGACAAGGTCTCTCAAGAGATAAAAAAAAAGTTGGGGTACAGAAGATGACCTTAGTGGCAACCTCCTCATCGCGCAACAGCTTTCCCCCTGAAGGAAGACTGACTCCCACCCTTCTATGCTTTAGGAGAATGGTAAAACCAAACCTAAACCAAACTGAAGCATAGAACCCAAGTCCGGCCTGATTCAGAGTAAAGACTGATTGACTCCTAGAATTAGGCTGAGACTCTGAAGAACTGTGAATTCAGGCTGGTGCTCATAATGGTATGTTTTTAAACTCTATATTCCATTTTTGGAAACCCAACCAAAGAAAAAAGCAGAGAATTTGTACAATTTAGCAGGGGACAGCGGGGGCATTTTTTGTCAGAATCCCAGTTTATTCCTCCATACCAGGTGCTTGTTTCTTTTAACAGTATTGTAGATATTTATTTTAATATCCCTTGGCAAAAAATTCCAGTTTGTCAGTGCTAAGCCACCTGTGATATTCCTAATAGTGGCATACTTAAATAATAATAATAATATTCAAACTTAAGCACATTTGATGATTGGAAATACATGGAGGACTACAGAAACAGAAAATAATTACAAAATTTTTTCCAGTATTGCATAGTTCTTCTATTATTCCTCTCAAGATTTTCCTCAATGTTTTTCCCAACTGACACCAGATTAACTACATGGTAATTAAGAGCAATTAAAGTATAACACTAGATTCCTCATGATTAGCTAACCTCTAAACAAAAAGCTTGCTGTGTATTATTGCTTTTCTATGACTGTTTTATATGGAATCAGATTCCGAAACTGAGATAAGCATCTCTATTATTAGAGTCACCTTAGATATAAGTTTAACACAGTAACTGGAAAAAAAGAACTTGACATATTCTTATTTCCTTCCCAATAGAAAACTCTCCTCTGCAGTAAGGCAAACAGGTAGGAAGATTTTTACCTCTTCAGATATAAATAAAACAACATGTCAAAGGAACTTTGGAATATACAAAGGAGGAGATTAATCTTTCATGTTGCACCAGCACAGTTGCCAAAAAACTGACTGTAATATAGAGTGCTTGGCTTTCCCTTAAAAGAGAAGCAAAGCACCATGATGATTTTGGTCTATACCATGGGTGTCAAACTCGATCGCGTCACGTGACATATCATAATGCATCGCAACATTTTTTGCCTTTGCGGAGCCAGGATGGATGTGGCCTGCGCATGATGCATTTGGCCCATGGGCCACCAGTTTGACACCCCTGGTCTATATGTTCCTTACAAGCCTACACCTCTGAATAACATTCTTCCTGTAATATAATATCAGCTTTGTCTGTTGAGTTACCTTGAGAAAAAATTGGATGAGAAAAAAAATATTAGGAGAATGCCTACAAGAAGGGGTGCCCTGAAGTCAACTGACTTCATCCTATGCTTTTCAAATGTAATGGTCAAGAATCATAGAACTTGGGCCCCTCAGTCCTGTCCCTTCCCAGGACAACCCCCCAACCTAAAATATTTTTGATGGGCAGCTGTCTAGCTCCTATTTAAACTTGTCCATTGAACATAGTTCATTGTCTCCTTTAATAGCTAGTTCCCCCATTGAATTACTTTTACTATTAGAAAGTTTCTTCAACTCTTCAACTGGAATCTTCTGTAATTTAAGATTACTCCACATCCTGAAAAAATAACAGGATCTTCTTCTCTGTTACATTCTTTCAGTTGCTTAACAACCTGGGTATCTTCGAGACCGTCTTCTGCCGCAGATTGCCTCCCATCGACCGGTACGCTCCCACAGAGCGGGCCTCCTCAGGGTGCCGTCGGCCAAACAGTGTCGGCTGGCGACCCCCAGGGGGAGGGCCTTCTCTGTGGGAGCTCCCACCCTGTGGAACGAACTCCCCCCAGAGATCCGGATTATTCCGGATCTCCCNTGGCCATTGCAAATTCATTTATTTACCTGCTGAATGTAGAGTGTGGTCATTGTAATCACATGGTTAATATAGGAACAAGTCCCAATCTCTTCCACATTATCTAAGTTTCTGAAACAGAATGAAACATGTAAGAGGTGAAGCAATTGTATGATAGAAGTGGACTAATGGAAATGAATATCTATAGAGATTTCCAAAATTATTCCTACACAAATGTTTAAATATCCCAAATGCAAACTATGAGAGGCTACATGTTTTAAAATCTCACTTTTCTCTGTAATGTAGAAACCTTGATATAGCAAATGTATTAATATCAGAATGACCAGTTAACTATATTTTCAATAGCTGAGGCTACATGTTATGCTAACCATAATGTAGTTAATTCTGGCTTAGAATTATATATTATTTTAGCTTTGAAAGCAACTTATAGCTTAACATGAGTTAATATGAGTTGGTTACAATTATGCCTTCTTCAACAACCCACAGAAAAATCAAATCATGACTGAAAATTATTTTTTAAAATATGCATTTATTTTGATTGAACATAGCCAGGGTCCCATCAACATGGGCTGTTCACAATATAAAAACAAATATACAATCCAAATAAAAGCATAGCAATTTTGATAATATGAAATTCAGTTACCATAGATATAGCCAATGTTCTAACTCCTAGACTAATTTGATATTATACTTCCAAGAGAGAAAAAGAGATAGAGGGGAGAAAAAAAATGGGAAGAATACAAAAAGAGAGGGGATTGAGCAGGTACACTCGGAAATCAGTAAACAAAAAATTGAAAGAAAAGTAATGGAAATAGAATATATCAGGGATCTCTTTCTTGACACTGTCCAGTGTATTATGAAAAGACAATTCGGTGAAAAAAGATACCGGCAAAGAATGATGAAGAACTTGACTAGGAGAAGTGTCAGTGCTTGTTGTGGCTCTTCCAACCCTTCTGACAATTTCTGAACGCAATGCAGCAACTGGAGCCTCAAAACCTGAAGAATGTTATCAGGAAGCAGAGATATTCCAGGGGGAATGTCATCCACCCTAAAATAAAGCCAGTAAATATGAGAGGCAAAAAGCAACAGTCATTGACATAATTATAGCTTTGGAACTTCTTAGCTACAACTCTATTTTCTCCAGATACCATCTGCCTGCAGGACAAGGTCTCTCAAGAGATAAAAAAAAGTTGGGGTACAGAAGATGACCTTAGTGGCAACCTCCTCATCGCGCAACAGCTTTCCCCCTGAAGGAAGACTGACTCCCACCCTTCTATGCTTTAGGAGAATGGTAAAACCAAACCTAAACCAAACTGAAGCATAGAACCCAAGTCCGGCCTGAAGAACTGTGAATTCAGGCTGGTGCTCATAATGGTATGTTTTTAAACTCTATATTCCATTTTTGGAAACCCAACCAAAGAAAAAAGCAGAGAATTTGTACAATTTAGCAGGGGACAGCGGGGGCATTTTTTGTCAGAATCCCAGTTTATTCCTCCATACCAGGTGCTTGTTTCTTTTAACAGTATTGTAGATATTTATTTTAATATCCCTTGGCAAAAAATTCCAGTTTGTCAGTGCTAAGCCACCTGTGATATTCCTAATAGTGGCATACTTAAAAAATAATAATAATATTCAAACTTAAGCACATTTGATGATTGGAAATACATGGAGGACTACAGAAACAGAAAATAATTACAAAATTTTTTCCAGTATTGCATAGTTCTTCTATTATTCCTCTCAAGATTTTCCTCAATGTTTTTCCCAACTGACACCAGATTAACTACATGGTAATTAAGAGCAATTAAAGTATAACACTAGATTCCTCATGATTAGCTAACCTCTAAACAAAAAGCTTGCTGTGTATTATTGCTTTTCTATGACTGTTTTATATGGAATCAGATTCCGAAACTGAGATAAGCATCTCTATTATTAGAGTCACCTTAGATATAAGTTTAACACAGTAACTGGAAAAAAAGAACTTGACATATTCTTATTTCCTTCCCAATAGAAAACTCTCCCCTGCAGTAAGGCAAACAGGTAGGAAGATTTTTACCTCTTCAGATATAAATAAAACAACATGTCAAAGGAACTTTGGAATATACAAAGGAGGAGATTAATCTTTCATGTTGCACCAGCACAGTTGCCAAAAAACTGACTGTAATATAGAGTGCTTGGCTTTCCCTTAAAAGAGAAGCAAAGCACCATGATGATTTTGGTCTATACCATGGGTGTCAAACTCGATCGCGTCACGTGACATATCATAATGCATCGAAACATTTTTTGCCTTTGCGGAGCCAGGATGGACGTGGCCTGCGCATGATGCATTTGGCCCATGGGCCACCAGTTTGACACCCCTGGTCTATATGTTCCTTACAAGCCTACACCTCTGAATAACATTCTTCCTGTAATATAATATCAGCTTTGTCTGTTGAGTTACCTTGAGAAAAAATTGGATGAGAAAAAAAATATTAGGAGAACGCCTACAAGAAGGGGTGCCCTGAAGTCAACTGACTTCATCCTATGCTTTTCAAATGTAATGGTCAAGAATCATAGAACTTGGGCCCCTCAGTCCTGTCCCTTCCCAGGACAACCCCCCAACCTAAAATATTTTTGATGGGCAGCTGTCTAGCTCCTATTTAAACTTGTCCATTGAACATTGTTCATTGTCTCCTTTAATAGCTAGTTCCCCCATTGAATTACTTTTACTATTAGAAAGTTTCTTCAACTCTTCAACTGGAATCTTCTGTAATTTAAGATTACTCCACATCCTGAAAAAATAACAGGATCTTCTTCTCTGTTACATTCTTTCAGTTGCTTAACAAGTGCTGTAACATCCTCCCAATCATCTTTTCTCAAGGATCAACAGTTCCTTCTATACCTCCTTGTCCTTTGCACTTGCTTCAGTTTCTTTAAATATTAAAGTAGGGTGCTTTAAATTAGACACAGTAACTTAGATGGAGGTCTGGCTAATGAAGAATATAGTGGAACTATTACTTTCCATATTTTGGGAATTTTACTCTACTGATGAAGCCTAAAATTGCCTTTACCCAATCCAGTCACACAGCTGATCCATTATCAACTTGTGGTCAACTATAATTTCTAGATCCTTTATATCCATATTATTACCCAAGTCAAGTTTCCCCCACTTATGGAACTGACTTATTTTATAATACTCCATTTGCCTTTATAAAAAAAATGCACCCATTATGCACAAAAAAGAGATTACCAGGCATCCAGTATTATTTTAAAAAAATACACAACCATTTTTAGCAATCCACATCCTCCATTTCAAATCTATTTTTAAATTCAAGATTTTGCCACTATTATAAAAATGCAGCACCAATATGGGGTGATATATTCCAAAATATGTCCTTCTCAATATAACTGAATACTAAAATGGTAGCACCTGTAATTGAAAACATACATCCCATAAAATATGTTATTTTAGGGAAGCATTTTTACACCATAACAATCTTCACCTTTATCTCCCTAGATATTTTCTCTTATCAATCAGTAAATTCAATCCTGTCAATAACATCAGAGCAAAACTCTAGATTTTATACTGAACAGTTAAACAACACTGTTGCTAATCTACAGATTGTATACTTTCTCCCTTTTAATATTTTGTTATGCTGATACCTAAAAATACTATTAGTTAAGATATGATAAAACAATTCAGGCTTAATCTAAAAGTTATCAACCATACAGTAGACATCCAAACTGATTTGTAGGTCTTCAAAATTACTTTTATTTTAAGAATATGTTAAAATTAAAATTAAGGCACAACTGAAGAATTCTGTGACCAGGAGACTGTAACTAATGCTCCACTAAATGCCCTATTCAGTCCAATCTCTAAAGTTGATTCAAATAATTTACTCCGTGTTGGTTGTCCTGATAGAAGGAGTTCCTTCAACAAAATGTTACTAATCTTCATCCTACATTCAGTATCCTGTTTTCACTTGAGTCAATTTGAGTCAAACTTGAATCAAACAATGAAAATCCATCCATGATTATCAGGCTACACCCTGATTATTCAGTGATGCAAACTGGTAATTTTAGAATTAAGACTTCCTGGTCTCAGACACTCTGTGTGTAGATGGACTACAGCTGTGCTGCATTTGAGGACATTCCTGATCACTCTACTGGGGACCAGATTTCTGTCCCAACTGCCACACAACTCCACATCTTTACCAATGAGTAAGCTCCACTAGAGACCACAGGGACTGACCTTTGAACAAGCACACAAAGAATTCATGCTGCTAAGAGAATGCATTATCTTAGGCTAAGTAAGTACATTCAAAAAGCACATTCCAAGGTCATTTCCTGGTTTAAAGCAAACAAGAATGTTTACTTGACTCTCTAATTTAACAGCTCAAAACCCATTTTTGAAGAATGTAAGCTAGGACAAGAAATACCAGTGTGGAACAAAGGGAGAATATCCTAATGTAAAATAAAGTTGATGAATACCACAACTTTAGCTTGGGGCACTACTGATTTTGATCATTTTGCTGACAAAATGACCTGTAAGATATGAGATGAAACAGACTGGAACTTTTGTGTGTCAGGTTCCAAGTATACTTTGGAGAAGAACAACAGCTTAGTTCTTCAGGCCATGTGATGTTTGTGCACTTTGTGTGCGTTGGGATCAACATACAGGGGGCCATGTGCTATCACTTGTATCTCCAAATCTGGGGATAGTACATTGATGCACATATGCAACACTCCTTCCCCCAAACTAAATTTGGCAACCAACAGAAAGTCTTGCTCTCCTGCAAGTCTTCCGCATAGAAAAATCAGCAGCTAAGATTTAAATTTTGGCAGCATTCTTCCATTTATTGCTGCTTCACATTTTAGATTTGATGTGTGCATGAATGTCCATGGAGGGAGGAGTTAAAATCTCCAAGATGGTGTGTTCATTGTCATTGTAAAAACTCTACCCCTTTTGTACATATGGCAATGTGTATCTATGTACAATTCAATCATGATATTAATCCACCACCCGCAGATTTTATTCACTTACATCACTCTGTGTGTGTGTGTGTGTGTGTGTGTGTGTAGGCACACTGAATCAGAATAGAGGTGGAAGGGACCTTAGAGATCTTCTAGTCCAGTCACCTGCTCAAGCAGGAGACCCTATACCATTTCAGACAACTGACTGACCTGTCTCTTCTTAAACTCATTTTCGCATGAGTTCTTCAAGAGAAGTTAATATAAAATACGATTCAAAGAGATAACAGAGTTAAGATTAGAGCAGCTTGCATTTTCCATTAAATGATGAGGAAAAAATTAAACAAGCACAAAATGTGGGGACATTATACATTTTATCAGGATTAATAGTAGACCATCAGATAAAAAGATGTGCTGAATTCTTCACTTTGATTTGTGTATATTATACTTGATAAAAGTATTATCACAAATATTTTATATCTATTTAGCCATATTATATATCAGATCAAATCAGATCTATTTCAACATACCGAGTGGGCAGTTTTTCAAAGTCCACATCCAGAAACTGTTCATAGCTAGAAACAAAACTGTCCAACCAGAGCTTCAAGTAGTCTGGATCTTTCTGTAAAGAAAAACAGACTGGTTTAATACATTGTTTTTGTTTTTTAATCCCAGAAATATTTGAAAATGTTTTTGTACTTCGCTTGCCCCAGTATACTCCTTCTGTACTTCTGACATGCCGAATTTAGATGTTTCTCATTTAATCATCAATTCAGATATTATATGTTCATGAAGTCATGAATTCAGCTCAGCTTAAAGGAAACTTTACGTTTTATCCAACTGAATGGAAAAAGAGAAGCTATTTACTAAACTGAGAAAAACCTGTTCCAACCAATCATTTAAACAAGACTGGAGAGTAAAGAGAAAGGCACAGGTATCAGTGGTAGGGTGTGTACATTCAAAAGACACAGGTTTTATACCTATCGCCTAAAGTAGCTTACAGAAAACTAATTGGAAAAGACTTGGATATCAGAGAGCTACAGCCAGCACATACTGAGTGAGATGGATCAATGATTTGATTCACTGGTCTGCTTCATAAAACAAATCCAGCAACAAAGTGATGTGTTTCAATCTGGCTTTATATGTTATACAAACCTAGCTTCTGCAGTCTGCATTAAATCAGTGACTGTAGTTTGCTTAATAAATTATGATTAAACCTTGTGAAATCTAAATCAAACAAGTGTAAGTAACTGTAGGTTTAAGATATCCTTCAACATTGGATCAAGGTATTACACAACTAGTTTATTTTAAAAAATCACAGCACATTCTCAAGCCATTGAGTTTCTTCTCTACAATAATTTTATTCTGATTATTCCAATTATTGGGATAAGCAGTCTCAAGGAAATCAATATAGATTTTGCAATTCCAACTATCAATATCAGATATATTTTGTAAACACAAGCAAATTTGTCTTTTTTACAGAGCTTCTGAGAGTCATGTGCTATGAAATCCTTCTTCTGAATACCTTGGCACTATCAACTAAACATCTTGCAACACAAATTAGGAAAAAAAATGTTCCTTAAACAGGATAACACAGTGATTGTTTTCCTGTTGGGGGATTTATCTACTGGTAAACAGTGGACACAATTTCAGTATCTATGGAAATAAAGAATCTTTCCCAAAATCAGGAATATGATAAGACATTAAAACTTCATTCCAAAGCAAAAACATAGATTGAAAAATCAGACTGGGAGGGTGACTAGGTTTCAGAGTAAATAGGCTCCATCACTAGACTCTTGTGTTATTTTTAAAACATTTCTATCCTTTCCAGATGACAAATCAGCATATACCCCAACGTGGCAATAGCAAACATGCCAACTCAGAGAGTTAGAAACTTCCCTACATTACAATGTCCTCTCCCAAGAAAAGCCAATGATGCAAGTGATTAAGCTGCTGTCTTGTTTTTGCTATAAGTTTTCTTGGTTTTGACATCACAAACCTCTTCAGCTATGAGGTTTAGTTGTTCTATTCTTTATTATGTAGCTCCAAAGTTAATTACATTGCTCCAGCAAAAAGGGCATTGAATTATTTTAACATCATGGAAAGCAGTCAGGAGAAAGCCAGTTTGGGCTACAGACTAAGATATCAAGCTAGAATAGCAATAGCAATAGCACTTAGACTTATATACCACTTCATAGTGCTATGCAGCCCTCTCTAAGCAGTTTACAGAGTCAGCATATTGCCCCCAACAATCTGGGTCCTCCTTTTACCGACCTCGGAAGGATGTAAGGCTGAGTCAACCTAGAAATCAGGGACTGTAAGTTCTAGTCCTGTCTTAGGCACAATGCCAGTGACCTTGGGTCAGTCACTCTCTCTTAGCCCTAGAAAACAGACAATGGCAAATCATTTCTGAAAAAGCTTGCCAAGAAAACTGCAGGGAATTTTGTCCAAGCAGCTCCAAGAATTGGACACAACTGAACAGAAGAAAAAATGTAGGCAAGATAGGTTTTTTAAAATTGTTCTATCCTCTATTGAAAGGCAATGAATAAGTGCTGTTTTTGCAATAATCTATTTACTTCTAATTTACCAGAAGGCAGGGAATAATTGGCATCATATTTTACTACTATAGGTTTTTTTTTTTCATTCAGGCAGAACACACCCACATCTATTTACATAGTGCCATTTGTATACAATGCAAAAGGACAGATGCCCCAAGAAATTTACAATCTAAAATGCAAGTGTTCCTCATTAAATCTTCCATTTGCCATTATCCACAAATTAATGTTGAAGACGCAAGACGTCATAGGCATGACAAGGAGAAATGTTTGGTTAACTTCGAGCAAACTTAACAAGATATGTTAAAAGGCCTTGTTTAAGTAAAACAGAAACAAACTAGACTGAATACGTGTGAAAAAAAATAACAATCATTTCAAAATATTGATAAGTATTTTTTTCCTTGAAGCTTTTCTTAGAATTATTCAATATGTAGGGTTCTAATCAGATTTGCTAGTGCCACCTAAAATCAGATACAGTATAATCACCTTTCATAGAAACAAAACCTCCTAATTCAGTATAGCTAGTAGCCAGACAAATTTAAAAACATATAATCATCACCATCATCCTTTATAACAAACACATGTAAAACATAAGTTAAAACAATTCACTTACAATCCCAAAATAGCATTATATGAAAAACAGCACATGTGAGTAAAGTAAAAACAAAATCCCTCAAATAAAAAATGAATACAACAATTGTGTTTAAAAGAGAAGTACAGCTCAAGTTTCAAATAACAAATTAAACCATGGTAGCATGAAATCATATTGCTCAGTCTCCCTTTGAGCCAAGAACGAGGTAATTCAAAGGCTGAGGACTCAAGAAAATCATAGTTCACCTTTATCTATAAACTGAATTACAGTTTGATCAAACTACAATTTGTCTCTCAAAAGCACATTCAGCAACAACTGTTTCAGATATGTCTCTGGCGCACATATGGACAACTAAAAGTAGGAAGGAATTTGATGAGCATAAACAGAGAAGGAAGTTACCTATAAATCCCTTCTGTGTTTTATTACTTACTGTAAATATAGTTTTCCACAGATATAATGCGGAACGCTCTGTATGCTTTTATTGTTGTAATCACCTTCACAGTTAGTATAAAGACAAAGGTAGGACATTCATTTGACTAATATCAAGGAGATTCAGATTCCAGTTCTCACCTGAGCTGAGGATTCTTTTTCCATTCAACCTGCAACTCCCCCCCCCCCAAGTTGCTAAAGACAGAGAGACAGAACTTTCAGTCACTGAGCAATAAAAATACAATCAATAAATGAACAACACAAAACTATCCCATAACAAGAATTGGTAATCATTAGCAAAGCTTACAAGTACATAATTTTATTTTTATTTTTAATATAAAGAAATAAATTCATCTTTATTATTTAACAGATAGTGCCCCAGAAATTTAAATAAAAGTGATGTAATCAACTCGTGGCAAATGTCCCTTGTAGAATTGACAATACAGAAGAACACAGGTTGTGGGGCTGCTATGGAGAAACATTGGAGGAGGGAGTTCCATCTACACTACCTTGAACTCCTTGGAGAAAAATAGCATATAAATCTAACAAATGGACAAATAATAAGTCAAGAATGTGAGATAGGTGGGCATATAAATGAAATACATACATGCATTTCTAGGACTTCCATGCCGGGGTTCATTTATTAGCTGAACAGAATGGCCTCATGGTTGCCCACACAAATTCCTATACAGAATAAGTTGCAGGCAAGAAAAAGATTGTGACTCCAATTTCAATGCCCCCAAAATGACCTACTAATACAAGTGGTCTTTGTTTAGTTTTGTATTAATTAAAACTGTTGGTTTTATAACACAAGCAACGCCCGGTAGAAAGAGAGTCGCTAGGCAGACGTTAATACTGCCACTGGTTTAACTGCATCTTTGATAGTTGTAAAACTCTTGCTAGTTTTCAGAAACTCCACAAAAGTTGAATACAGTACTGAAAGTCAAGAACCAAGGAAAACTCAGTAAAAATAGTTAACGGGAGACTCTAGGGACAAGCCATTTTATCACTGAACTAAAAGACCAAATGCTTCCTTTTTCCTTGTGAAGAAAGAGTGGAAGGCCAAGCAAATCAATCCCTACCACATCTGAAGAACCAAAAAATTTAGGGTGTGTAGAGCATACTCTCTGGCAAACATAGCTTCATCAATGGTCATAGCCAACTGAGGGAGGGATTTTTTCTTTGACTAGTGCCAGGCCCAGCCAAGGGAGTATCACCAGAGAGTCTCATTTTGTCAGTGACTAATCAGTCAATCAATCAGGTCTTTATTATGATCACAGAATAGCAAAAATAACTTTTCAAAAGTAGGTTATCAAATCTAAAAAAACCCTATATAGGTAGTCCTCAATGTACAATCATAATTGAGCCCAAAAATTCTGTTGCTAAGTGAGAGATTTGTTAAATGACTTTTGCCCTATTTTACAACCTTTCTTGCCACAGTTGTTAAGTGAATCACTTAATCATGTTAAGTTAATAACAGGTTGTTAAGTGAATCTGGCTTCCCCATTGATTTTGCTTGTCAAAAGGTCACAAAAGGAGATGGTTCCCTTCCTCAAGGAAAAAAAATCCAGTTGCCTTTTGAAAAAGCACTGTTGAGTCACAAAAGGGGATCACATAATCCCAAGACACTGCAACCATCATAAATATGAGTCAGTTGCCAAGTGTCTGAATTTTGATCATGTGACCATGGGTATGTTGCAATAGCTGTAAGTGTGAAAAATGGTCTTAAGTCGCTTTTTTCAGTGCTGTTGTAACTTCAAACAGTCACTAAATGAACCGTTGTAAGTCAAGAACTATCTGTATTTGTATGAGATTATTTTAAATGGACTTTTAAAAGTCATTGCCTTTGGAATAGTCTTGTAGAAGCTTGTCTTTGGAGTCAGAATGCCTTCTTCAATGTTCTGATTTTCAAGAGGGTTTTTCTAAACACTTGAACCAACCTTAGAAATGCTAAGAAAAAAGTTGTGCTACTAAATCAAACCGAAAACAATTGTTTATCATTTTTTGATCCACTGTCCCCAAGTGAATTTTTTTAGCACACATACA